TCCTTCCCCTAACAGCGAAGCACATTTGCTGGAATTGATGAATGTGTCTTTTAATTACTATAGAGTTATTTGTATTACTAAAAGAGACAATTTCTATGATGTCAAGGTAAGGAATTCAGTTGGAAACAACAAAGAGGAGGATTATATAATTATAGGAAGGCCAAGATACCTTGGTGGATGCAGGGAGTGACTATTGAAAGTAGAAAGCAAAATAGACAAAAAAAGTAGCAGCATATGATTGGAGAATGCAGTTCTCCAATCAAGAGACTTGATTTTATTCCCAGAATGAAAGCACTCTTAGGAGTAAAGCTGTCAATCAATTACCAAAATGTAAAGAAATAAAAGGCAGTATAACACACATCATAGCAGCTTTTTTCATAATCAGAGAATAGAAAGGATGGATGGTTACTGGTTATCTTCCTTAGTCACCTGCACATTGTTGGGTGTCTGCCATGGTCATGATTTTATCACCATGATTTTATTTTTTAGTCTTCTTTCCAGGCTTTCAGGTTTTATTCACTCCACGAACATTCCCTCCAGATTTGTATCTTAGCCCTTTTCTCACTTTATTTTTCCTACTTAAGGGTTTCAACTATCACATAAATGCATCCAGTTCTCTGCTTCCAGCTTTGAGTTCCTTTTTAGTAAGCTCCAGACCCAAACACATGTAGCCGCTATTAGCCACTGCCATCTAGATGTCACACGGATAAGTTCAACTCATATGACAGGATCTAAATTCATTACTTGTCCCCCAAATCTGTTCCTCCCCTGCTATTTCATATCTTGATTAATAGCACTGACACTTGTCCAATCAGGAAAGCCAGAGATCTGGGAATTATCAGAGATACAGAGATGGATATGGCACAATTTTGCCCTCAATAAACAGTCAAACTCATAGAATGCCTATATGTAAACCTCTCTTTTTAAAACCAATAATAAATTCTCTTATAGAACTCATAATTCTACTTTTTGATAGGAATAGGAATTCTTATTTATAAACTTCTTTGGATTAAACTGAAATCCTTTGAAGCTATGCTGAGGAGGGCATATATCACATTCATTACCATGTCCTCCCCAGACTGCTGACATATTGCATTAAATACAGCTGATGTTCAACAAGTAGGTGTTGAATATATGCATGAATAAATAACTATAAAACAATAAAGGAAGCTAAAAGTAACACTGAAGTAGTCACAAATAAATAGCTATATAAGGGTATATGAGGGAAAATTATTTCAACTGGAAAGAATAGGGAACATTTTGTGAAGGTGTAGAATTTCATCTGTTCTAAAGGAGAAAAAGAAGATGATGTTCCAGGCAGAAGGATGTTCCAGGTGAGAAAAAAGAGGAGAAAATAATAGAATATGCATAAAAGTAAAATTATTTATTCAGACAATAAAGTATTCAAAATATACAGAAAGTGAATAGGGTCTCATTAGAAATGAGAGACCTTACTACAGATAAATAGATAAATATATTCTTTTAAACTGGAAGATATACTTATTAATGTAAACTTGTTAATATAATTCTTTTAATCCTTTTTACCATGGAAAAGTACAATCATAGAGAGAATATACAATGATCCCTTTACCTGTATCTGGTGTCAAAAGTACCAGTTCAAGCTATGTCTTACTTCATCTATACCTACTCACTGCATCCCAATATTATTTCAAAACAGATCACAGACATTATACAATTCAATTCATAGATATTTCTGTGTATACCTCTAAATGACAAGATCCCTTCTGCAAACATAACCATTATCATAATTTAAAAAGTAATAGTAATTCATCGATGTCATCAACATTCTGTCTGTGTTTATATTTCCCTGACTTTCTCCTAACTTGTTTTACAACTTTTTTTGAATAAACCATTATCCACTTAATGTCCATACATTGCAATTGGTTGTTATGTATCTTAAATCAGTCTTTTCCACCTCCCCTTCCTTTCCTGTCTCCTTTTCTTGTATTGATTACAGAATAAAGCGTATATGAAAAACACTCAAAACATATGTATGAGTTAATGAATTAGTATAAAGCAAATACTTTTATAATCACCACTCAGGTCCAGGAATAGAACATTGACAGTTTTGAAAGTGCTCACACGCTCAATGTCAACTGGACTTTCTTTACTACCTCCCAAAGTAGCAACTATCTGTTTTTGCATAGTGAAATCACTCCTTGTTTTCATTTACAATTTTATTATTCATATGTGTATCCTTAGATACTATAGTCTTAATCACTAAAGCATTTCAAATGTATTTTGTTTCTTTTAATCTGTTCATTCCCACTCTATGCTTCTTTTTTTGGAAATTTATTTGCTGACGAACATAAAACATTTGGCCTATAGAGTTTCTCACTATTTAGATTTTGCTGACTGCAAACTCATGGTGCAGATCAATACATCCTTCTGTTCTCTATATTTCCTGAAAAATGGCAGGAGGAGCCAAAGGTTTTATCAGACTCAGATTTAACCCATTTGGCACAAATACAGGTTATACTGTATTCTTTCATTAAAAGGAGTATGGCTGTTTCTCTTCTTATGATAGTAGCACTCATTGATGTATAATGCTTAGATTTAGTAATTCATTGGGGTTTGCAAAGTGATTATATACTTTTATAAAAATATACTTCCCTGCATTATTTCATTACTCAGTGTACATTTCTTATAGAAAAAGCAGAATAAAATCTTGATTTTTTTCCTGTTTATTTACCAGTTTTCAAGGTAATGCTTTTATTTCCTTAACATCCAAATGCAGCCATATTTTGAAATATCACTATAAATTTATGGATTTTAAACTTAATTCATGAGATGCAACCTGTTAATATCCTTCAGTTCAGTTCAGTTCAGTCGCTCAGTCGTGCCTGACTCTTTGCAACCCCATGAGTCACAGCACGCCAGGCCTCCCTGTCCATTACCAACTCCCAGAGTTTACCCAAACTCATGTCCATCGAATCGGTGATGCCATCCAGCCATCCCATCCTCTGTCGTCCCCTTCTCTTCCTGCCCCCAATCCCTCCCAGCATCATATCCATACTAAAGTTCAAATTACTCCATCTTTGGCCAATGAAAAACTCTTAAATTTGGCTCCCTAAGTCACTTCATTAATGACTTAAACAGAGACAGATACTAAACTTTCAACCAGGATTATAGAATTTCCTGTTTCTTCTTTTAAATTTTTCAGTTTTTCCTTTGTATATTTTGAAACACTGTTACCAAGCATATTTTTTTAAATTATTTTATGGCTTCTTGATGAGTTCACCCTTTTATTATTCTAAAAAGTCTTCTAAAAAAAAAAGTCTTCTTTATATCTCATAATATCAATCATCTTACAGTTTACATATTGGTATATCCATTCTAACCTTTTTATTTTTATTAATCATTTTTTGATCAAAATTTTCTATCTTCCACTTTTTTTAATCTTCAGGTATTATTTATTGTGTTCATTTTCTGTTATGTTCCTTTTAGTTTAGCATTATTTTTGAAATTATTTTTTTCTAAGCTTTTATGGAGTTATATAATTTCTGGAAGTTTCTATTCTTATTTGTTATTCTTTCTTATCTTTCATCACTTCTTAATGCCTTTTTGCGAATTTTTGAAACAAGTTACAAATATGTCCTTCCTGCATGCATTAATTTTTTTCTATAGAAATGTTATTCTGCTTCTTATTCTCCTTTTTTTCTTATAGCTTTGAAAAGGATTTTACCTTGATCCTTCTTTTTGTAAAGACTTTTTATGTGGACCATGTTTAAAGTCTTTATTGAATTTGTTACAGTATTGTTTCAGTTTTATGTTTTGATTTTTTGGACATAAGCCATGTGGGATCTTAGCTCCCCAGCCAGGGATGGAACCTTCGCCTCTTGCTCTGGAAGGCAAAGTCTTAACCACTGAACTGCCAGAGCAGTTTCTTGATTATTCTTGTTACTCATTATTATGTAAAACTAGTTTTTCCGGAGCTTTAGGATTTAGTTGAAGTTTTCAACTTCACAGAGATCCTTCTTCAAAACTATGCTCTTGAGATTTCTTGATTCTGTTCTGCTCTTCCATTCTCAGGCAGTTCTCTTTCCATCCTCGACATTGCCCTGACCCTATTTATTTTGATCTTACTCCTAGCAGTTTTTCCTCAGTGTGAGTGGTTGTTTTACAGAGTTCTGAAGCACAAAAACTATTTCAATTCCTTTAGAATGTCTAGCTATAGGCTTTTCAGACCTACCCTCTATAGAGGGCAAACCCCCTCCCAATCTCCCAACTGCTATTCTCAAATTCATCCACTGGCCTTTTTGGGATTCTCATGTTCTAGAGCTTACCAGATACCATATTATTTCCATTTTCATCTGCTTCCTTCTCTATAGATGCTGAATCTATATGGGTCATATTAGTGATTATATCACTTGCTTTTTTGAAAGTGATTCTTAAGGATAACTTGTTATTGAGTTTTGTTTTAAATGTTGTTCAGGAGTTTGGGGATTTGGCTCAGGTGGACATTTGAAAAGATAAGAAAACTATGCTGCTGCCACAAATGCCATCTCCCAATACTTTCATTTTTGATTAAATATTTTCCTAAGGTTTCAGATTTCAAATAGATCACAGATCGAATGTGCCCACAAAGGAGAGCAACCATGAAAACACATTCAAGTATTAAATTCAGTACTGATTAACTAAAGAGTAGAAATTCACCAGAGGAATTTCTGCTGAAGCTTCTGACTTCACTCAGCAGTGAGTATAAGTTGGCAATATTTCTCAAACTGTATTTCATAAGAAGTTAATAGAAATAAGATAGTTCTGGCAGCCTAGAGATTATAAGTTAAGACATGGTGAGTTGAGGTAAAGTCTCCACCACTTCCTTTAAAATGTTACAAAGTGAGGAAGCAGTAAAAAAATTTGTGTAAAGTTATTAAGGAAGAAATTGTGATGAGAAAAATCTCAGTTTCTATATTAATTCAATTCAACAAATAGTCATTATTGTTTTAGAGACGGTAAATGACCTCTGGTTTGCTTACCATATACCAAGTGATGTTTGGTTTGATATTAGAAGGAAAAAATCCATCTATGTTTGGACAAGAGATCTTCTGAACACCATATTCTAAATATAGTTTATGCACTGGAAGTTTCATGGGAGAATTGAAGCAGTTATCTTTTTGAACCACTTCCAGAGGAAATGCAACTTTGCTGCAATAGGTAGTATTCCTGAAAAGAAAAATATGCAGTGAATGGGCAGTTCCATTTGTTTTCATGCTGCAAACACATTGAAATGAGTGAAGTGAACTACTCCTATGTACTGAGACTTTATATGTTAAGTTCATGTAACAATTAAATGTGTTATGGAGGTATTTCCTAGAACAATTGACATAACAAAATAAAGACAGACACAATTAACTACTATTGATAAACTACTTACATTTTTAGATTTACTCCTAAATACACATATGTGTGTATATGTATTTATGGGCTTCCCTTGTGGCTCAGCTGGGAAGGAATCTACCTGCAGTGCTGGAGACCTGGGTTCCATCCCCGGATTGGGAAGATCCCTTGGAGAAGGGAAAGGCTACCCACTCCAGTATTCTAGGCTAGAGAATTCCATGAACTGTGTAGTTCAAGGAGTCACAAAGAGTCGGACACGACTGAGCACCTTTCACTTTCATATGTGTGTGTGTGTGTGTGTGTGTGTGTGTATATATATATGTATGAATGTATATATACATATATATCTGCTGTTCCGTCACTCAGTCGTGTCTGACTCTTTGTGACCCCTATGGACTGGAGAACTCCAGGCTTGCCTGTCCTTCACCATCTCCCAGAGCTTGTTCAAACTCAAGTCCATTGATTCGGTGCAGCCATCCAACCACCTTGTCCTCTGTCGTCCCCTTCTTCTCCTGCCCACTGCCTTCAGTCTTTCATGCTCAGTTGTGTCCAACTCTTTGTGACCCCATGGATCACAGCTCACAAGGCTTCTTGGTCCACAAGATTTTTCTAGGCAAGAATACAGGAGTGGGTTGCTCCCCCTCCTCCTCCAGGGGATTTTTCCCAACCCAGGGATCAAACCTGCATCTCCTGTGTTTCCTGCATTGGCAGGTGGATTCTTTACCACTGAGTCACCTGGGATATAAAATGTTTAATTTTACCCTTAAAACACTCTTAATAACACTAGTACTGGAAAGGCAAAGGTAAGAACAGCATATTAACTCATGGTTGATAATGGTATAAACGAGTTTTGGAAAAAAAATGTTTCCAAAAGTATTTTTAAAAGCCTTAATCTTTGCCCTAGTCAGCCTATTTCTGAAGATTTTTTCACATGACAGAAATAGGAAAAGTGAGAAAAGAGGGAGCACATGATCAAAAATGCTATCCTTTGCTGTGTCAGCAAGGAAGATATTAGAATCACTAGAAACACATATGAAAAGGAAGCCTGTAAAAAAACCATGGGACAACCATCCAAAGTTGTTGTACACACATATATATATATAAAATCAAGCATGAAGGGAAAAACTAACAAATGCATAAAATGTGTTAAGATGGCTGGGGAACTATATTTATGTCTTTAATGTTTATATAAGTCATTTCATCTGCCTGGAGGGTTCTTCTTCTCCCATCACCCTACCTTTCACTCAGAGGTTTATGTCACCGTACCTTTCAATTAAGACTTTCATCCTCTCAGCATGTGGGACAATTCTTTGGTTGAATTTATTACATGGCATGGCCATATGTGTTTTCTTTTATTTCTTGCATCTAGCACAATACCTAAATTTTCAGCTGGTACTGAATAAATATTTGTTAGCTACATGGGATAGATATAAAATTGTATTACATATAGGAAAACAATGAAAAGAACATAGATAATAACAATAAGTGATTTTTTAGGGTGATATGTAAATGGGTCATTAATTGTTCACCCTGTTTTGTGATTTCTCTCAATATTTAAAACATCTTATATACTCAGTAACTCATGAACTAAGACTAACCCCAAGGGAAGGTGTGGGAGAATTTATTACCCTTCCCAAGATGGGAGGAAAGAGCATTTAAAGATGACTTATGACAGTGGTAATAAGGTGGAAAGGGTGAGTGGAAAGCATGATCTTTGCCTATAAATAACAAAAGGTCTTCCAAGAAGAAAAAGTATTCCATAGGTGGATATTACAGAAGGCAAACTTCAGCTTAATAAGATCTATTTTATGACTATAAAAATAAAGTGATGAACAATGGTTAGACTAACTTTTCCAGCTTCATAAGTCAAATATGAACATTATCTTAGTAGAGGTATTGAAGCAAGAATACAAGCAGTAAAATCCTAGAGGATGAACCTGAACTTTATGGTGTTAATGACATCAAACCTATGATTTCACATGGTTCAGCTTAAGGTCATTCTCAGTTTAAGAATCACCACAGGATTACAGGAGGCTTTTGATGCCCCCACCAGATAAGTTCAATTCAAATTTTCTTTAGAGATGTAGAAGACAGGCAGAAGGTGAATTGAAGAGATGGCAATCTGGAAACTGATAAATAACAGTAAGGATATATTCACACCTTGAGGATCATGAGCCCTGCTCCTATAATGAAAAGAAGGCTGAAAACGTTTGAGAGAGAGCTCTAGAGAAGTAATAGGTTGGTAAGGAAAAAGAAATAGAGGTACTGAAACACTAGAATGCATAGCAGAGACAAGGTCAGCCAGAAAGCTACTGACAACCTGTTCCCAGGTATTTGCTGAGGTCCATGTATGGAATGTTACGAGATTATTAATTGTCAAAGATAATAAGGGGCTCAAAGAACATTTAGGCCAACTTTTTCATTTTGTGGGTATAGATACCAAAGCTGTGTTAGAACATAAACAATGGACACATGAGCTCCTTAGAAGTCTAAACCCCAGTCTAGAGTTCAATCCAATAAAATGAAACAGAAGGGGTGAAAGCCTCAATGGACTTAAGAGGTAACAAGAGACTTCCAAGGTCACATTGATTAACATGTGGGGTTTTTTGTGATAAAGAAGTGCTTTTTCACTAAATCACAACATTGGCTAAATTTATCAAAATATAATTATGGTTCTTCATCAGAGAACAGTTAACATCCATCAGAGACAAAGAGCATTCAAAAGGTGTGGAATTACCTATTCTGTTATTGTTATGTCATCCAGCTCTACTATTATGGGCTAGGTTGTGTCCTCCACCCCAAATTCATATGTTGAAGTTGAGTACTTCAGAATGAGACTATATTTGGAGATAGGTCTTGAAATTAAGTCAAAGAAAGCTGATATGTGTGGACCCTAATCCAATATAACTGATGCTCTTAAAAGAAGAGAGGACTGGGACACAGAAGACATGGGGGGAAAGATGCTAAGACCTGGAGAAAAGATGTCCTTCTACAAGCCAAGCGGAGATGAATGAAACAACCATGCTGGCACCTTGATCTGGGAATTCTAGCCTCTAGAACTATAAGAAATCATATTTCCATTGTTCAAGCCACCAATCTGCAGTATTTTGTAATGGGAGCCCTAGAAAAACCAATATACTTATTAAATGGTAGGAAACAATGTTTTAAAATATCCATAACCTAGATGGGAGTTTAAAAAACAAAGTAAAGCCTGAAAGCTAAAAGGGGACCTCAGGGAGTCAAAGAACTAAGCCTTAAAATGGTTAATTTTCAGGGAAATCTGTTTTTTCAAGATTTTTTTTCAGAGCAAAAACAATATTAATCTGTTGTAAAAGAAAACTTGGTATACTATGAAGTAAAATGCAGAATCTACATGAACCTTCAAAATAAAAAAAAGGTGGGTTTGTAATAAATTTTGCAGTAATGATAGAATGCTTTAGATTATATTCTTAGATTCCCAGAGATCTGGTGTTCATTTGCTTTATACGGAAACTTTGGTGAAAAGTTTGAAAAGCATTGTTTTAAGTGCATTTGATGCTTGTCAAATATTCTTTCATCTATATGGCACACTGAGGCTTTTGTTCACTTGTGTCCGGTTCTTTGTGACCCCATGGACTATGCAGTCCATGGAATTCTCCAGGCCAGAATACTGGAGTGGGTAACTGTTCCCTTCTCTAGAGGATCTTCCCAACCCAGGGATCAAACCCAGGTCTCCCCCACTGCAGGCAGGTTCTTTACCAGCTGAGCCACCAAAGAAACCCTTTACTCTGTGCTAGGCACTTAAAAAACTGCCAAGAATAACAGACATGAATGGGTTCTACTGCCAGCCCTGCTCACTGTCTAGGGAAAGAGATACATCTCCAAGTGACTCAGATGGAGGTAGATTCCAGTGTCAGGGAAAAGGAACATATGAATAAACCTCCATCTCTAGACAACTCTGATGTATGTCTGGTTTGAAAAGGAACCACCAATGGAGAATGTTCTCAGAAGCTCAACCTTTTTCTCTGCTCATCTCTTTCAGCCAATCTCAGCTAAGCCAATGAGGTGAAGAGTAACTCTTTCTGGATAAATGCGTCCTTCTCCTCCCCAGCTTCACATCCTTTGGGTAAGGGTTTGGGAACAAAGCAAAAAGGGAAAGACACCACAGGGTCAGCCTACCTCAGCATGCAGGTATAGTTTCCCGTGTCGTTGAGAAGCGTGGGCCGGAACCAGAGCAGGTCTTTCTCCTTACTAATGCGGTTCTCAGGGAGGCGGAAGTTAATCGGCTCCTCCAGGTCCCGGTCCTGCCTTGTCCAATACCAGATGAGAGTAAGGCCTGCTGAATGGGCTGTGCTGTAGTTATATTTCAAGAAGTGTTCAAAGAGTGGGCACTTGATACGAGCCGGTTCATCCTCATACACTTGGATCTGCCTCATGGTATCTAGCCCCCAGTCATCGCAGCGTTCTGGAATACACAAAACGAAAGAAAAGGCAGCTGAATCATCTCACCTCCAAAGAACATACCTTCTCCTTAGGATAGCCCCAACCTTTTTCAGGACACTTCTCTTGTCATATTAATTAGCCTCTTTCTAATAAATGCTTCTAATAGACAGCTGTGCTGTGAAGAGATGACTTCCTCTCATTCCTTCATCTTTTGACTATCATAACAGTGTGATCTGATAGTTTGATCCTGTTGAACCCAACAAGCTATGAGGGAGAATCTCACCTGGACAAGAAAATCAAGTGCTCTTTCACTCCTCTGGGGACAAAGGCAATTCTAAGGATAAGATCATAACTGAAAAGAGAAGCCTCCTAGTTCTCCCCTGGTCTCCGAATTTGGGGGCTAGATCTTCACTGTCCAATAGCAGTAAAATGCCTGCCACATATTTAATTTTAGATGTCTTGATTGCCACATTAAAGAAATAAAAAGAAGCAGGTAAAATTAATTTTTATATTTTATTAAATGATACATCTAAAACCGCAAATATTAATATTTTATACTTACTTTTTTTGTAATAAATCTTCAAAATTCAATATACTTTACACTTGTTGTACATATCAGACTGACTAGAATACATGGGAAAGCTTTCTAGTAAAAAGGAGATACATACAGTAGAGCTTAGATACCCTGCTGGTAGCTACACCCTACAGAAGCAGAACTGTCAGACCTTTTCACAGCTGATCAAAGATGCAAGAGCAGGGCCAGCTTGCATCAGCTGAGTTGAACTTATCTTACTAGAACTTCCCAGACAACTTACAGACTTATGAGCAATAATACATGAGTAATAAATTAAAAAAGGTTTGTGATCATTTGTTAGGCAACATCTTGGGGGTAACAGATAGCTAATAAAACAACTAACAGTGACTAATGTTGATAAAAGCAAAGATTTGAAGATTTATGACATGCAAAATGTTTTGTAAGTTAATAATAAATCTCTAAATAAATAATAGATCTCCGGGAAATTTAACAAACTGACTTTTCTAAGACTCAACAAATCAGTACTGTTTACAACTGTAATACTTCATTTAGAAACACCTTTTAAAATCCAGTATACAAAAAAAGAACTGGAAAGACCAAAATTTTGTTCACATTAAGACAAATTGATATTAAAATATTTTAATTAAACATATATCATAACCTTCTTTAAATATATTTTTATTCACACTGCAAAGTTGTAGAATTAGGCCATTTAGTTTATAGAAAATTTTAACCAGTTTTTTTCTTTTTTTTTTCAGATAAGTAAGTCAGATTGAATGCATGCATCTAATTTCATCCCTTAATGAAACTTCACTAAAACTAATTTTTCAAGACATTATCCCAAGTAATAGCAATAATAAGAGAAAAGACAATAGCAATACCATAGCAGACAAAATGGTGACCAGTTTGGCCCATTTAAATGAAAAGTCCTAAATGAGGAGAAGAAAGCTGTAGAACAAACCAATCTGCAAAGTAGAATGCAAAAAACATCAGGAGGCGAAACTGTCAGTATCAAGATAAGTAATCACTACTACCTTAACACCTAATATTTCTGGGTTCTCTTCCTAGGCACATTGTAAGATTGTACTTTTATGTCCTTCTGAAATAAGAGGATGCCATGTGACTCACTTTTGCCAAAATGATGTACCAAGTGTCACCTATGGTGAGTGTTTTAACAGCCAGAGTATTTCACTAGGCTTCCTTTTCTTCTGCCTTAGCAAATATGAAAACATAGACATTGAGACGCCTTTAGCTTATTTCCCTTGATATAGATGGCATATGGCAAAGCTTTACTATTTTAAGTCATAGAGAATTAGGATTGTTTATTACCAATATGAATAATCTATATTATCCTGGCAAATGCAATCACATACCTTAAAAATAAGCACCTATATGAAATAGCAAAATAAGGAGAAGTGGATGAAGGCTATGTCAAAAAGTGACATTTTTTGTTCCAACCCCACTCTCCTAGCACTTGGCAACCTTTCTCACTGAGCTCCAAGGATTGGAACAGCCAGGAGAGTGTAAACAGTCTTTACACTCCAAGCAGGAGAATGAATGAATGTTCTCTAGGAAACCTGACTACTTCCAGAGAAAAGATCTAACAATCTTACTAAGAGAATTTTTTTAAACAACTTGTACAGCCATATCATTTAACATAAAAAGCTCAAGATTAACAAATCCCCCCCCCACACACACACTTAGAATTTCTAATCAGCTTCCTAATAGCTTCTTCTTAAATACAAACAGCCCTAGGAGACATCTGAGAAAAATCTCTACTATTAACAGTAACACCCAAAGAAACATTGTAAAAAAAAATTGATAAAATCAAAATTATTCAAATAAAAGAAATCTTTGAAAACAAAGCTATCGTTAACATCCTCAGAGAGATAAAGAAACTTCTACATTCATCAAGCGAGAACAGGGTGATACAACAAAGGAATATTCAGAGAAAAACAAAAAGCTCATTAAAATTAAAAACATGATTGAAGAGAGGTAAATTTTAATAAATGGCTTATTTGGAAGTTGAAATTGAGAATTTTCTAAAGAGTAGAATACAAAGAAAAATAAATAGAAAATAGACAAGAAAGTTAGAAGACTAGTCCAGGAGTCTTAACATCTCCATAACAGAATCCTCAAAAGAAAAAAAAAAAAAGGAGAAAACTCTCAATTAAATAATTCAAAGCAAAAACAAATCTCAGAACTAAAGTACATAACCTTCTAAATTAAAAAGAGCTGTCAATTGCTCCAGCACTGTGGATGAAAACAGACTTGCATCACAAAAATATTTTTTAAAACTGAAAAAAGAAAAGACTATATAAACTACTGGCAAGTAAGAAAAAGAAAAAAAAAAGACACATACTAGGAAGACTAGGAATCAGAATGGCTTTACAACTCTCAAAAACAGACTAGAAGCTAGAAGATAATGACTCAATGCATCTTACGGAAATGTATTATTAATCTTGAATCTTAAACCAACAAAAAAATCACATGTGAAAGTGACATTTTCAGACACATAAAGACTCAGTAATTTTTCTTCCTATACTGTTTTTCAAGAAGCTTCTGGGGAATTTGTGTCCAAAAAAATGAGAGAAAAAACAACAGAGGGAAAAATGAGATCAAGGACTAGGGGGATCCAACTAAAGAGAGAGAGGAAGAGATTCCCAGGATAACAATGCAGAACATCCTAAGGAAAGCAGCTATACATTAGGGTTTGCTGGTGAATCAGTATAGATAGAAGAAAAATGGAGATCCCCAATAAAGGAAAAAAAAAATGTAACTGATGGGTCATCTGATTAGATTATCACAGTGAACAATTATGCTGAAGGGCAATTGAAAAGTATAAAAATAGTTACCAAAAGATACTAATTATGGATTTCTCTGGTGGTCCAATGGTTAAGACTCCCTATTTCCATTGCAGGGGTTGCAGGTTCAATCCTTGGTCGGAGAACTAAGATCCCACATGATGAACTAAGATCCTGCATAATTTAAAGTGATCCCACATCCTTTTTTAAATTGTTATTTTGGCGAGGGTTTTTTGCTTTGTTTTGTTTTCATGTGGACCATTTTTAAAGTCTTTATTGAACTTGTTACAATATTGTTTCTGTTTTATGTTTTGGATATTTGGCTGCAAGGCATGTGGGATCTTAGCCCCACACCAGGGACACAACCCACACCCAGTGCATTGGAAGGCAAAGTCTTAACCACTGGACTGCTGCAGAAGTTCCAGCCCGAAGAAGTCTTTATGACCCTGAACAATAATTAATAGCAAGACAGATGATAAGTGACAGGTGGATTTTTTTTTTATTTTGTAAAGATAAGAGAATGTTAATTGTGAAAGGGAAATGGAAAAAGAGACATCAAACCCAGAAACATGTACTCAGGCAGACGAATTTAGAACAAAGCTTGAAATGGAATTTTGGTGTTCACTGGGGCAGACTGTGGCAGAGTCTGGGTAAATGTTCATTAGTTCTGTTTTCTCTTCTTGGCCCATATGAAACCTGCACATCCTTGACAATTGGGTTGGGGCCATGTGACTTGGTTCTGGCCAATGAGGGACCAGAAATACTGTACAACTTGAAACTCCCAGCATAATCTTTGTTGCTTTCTCTTCCCCTTCCATGGAGTCCTTGAAGACCAGAAATTTGTGAAAAGGGCATCATGACAACATGGAAGGAGCCTGGATTCCTGCCATCAGTCAAAGCAGAGCTTCTCAGGAAAACTTCTTTGAAAGCTTCTCACTTTCGAAGAATTAAGCCAAATCTCTATCAATTAAGCCACTGAGATGTAGGACATTAATTTGTTATAGCAACTAGTATTGACTTATAAAGGAAGCCAGAATTTTTCTTTCATAATATAATAAATCAAGAGCAAACAGACTTATTTTAAAACAGCATATGTTAAAGGCCCTTACATACTAATATTTAAACACAGGTTAACAAAAATTTCTGGTTTATTCACTGAATATCTTTTCAACCAAATTAAATGCAATACAGTGTCAAGGGGAAAAGACATCTTATACCTGCAATGTATCTCCCTTACAGAATATTTCATGGGTCAAATGAGTATATCTATAGAGTGAATCAGACTCCTTCACAATAGGGACCAAAGACATACATATTAGTATTTGTAAGCATTAGTAAAAATGGTATTATTATTGAGTTTTTTTCTCTGGGGCATTTACCCATTAGAAATTAGTTCTGTGTGTTCTTTAACTTTCCCTAGCCAGCCACCTGAGGGAACTTTGTCAGAGATTTTTAAATTATTCAATGAACAAATAAAACTAAAATCTATGACAACAGGCTGAAGTGTCATGCAATACCAAATTAATTATATGATTCACTGCAGGCACCAGGCAAAGAAGATACTGGGGAAATGGCTGTTATGCAAATAGATGTACCTCTAATAACAGCAAAGGGAATTTAACGAATTACTGGCACAGAGAATTACTTTTTTGTTTAAAATGTCCCTTCCCATCCAGTGCACTC